AGGTGCACATTGTCAGGATGGCCGAGCGGTCGAAGGCGCCAGACTCAAGAATTGTTTCCTTGCCTTGTTCAGGGCTTTCTGGTCTCCGTATGGAGGCGTGGGTTCAAATCCCACTCCTGACATTACATCATTTTTCAAAACCTTACACAACAAACAGGACATAGCAAATGTGCTTTCAAGCTAAGGTGGAGTACGATGTACAAGAAATTTCTACTTAGAATTTTGGAACGTCCAATGTTTCTTGCCTCCTTTTCTCTTGAATATTGTAGTGCATCAAACTGAAAAGTGCAGACGGTGTATCGCTTTTTGAAGTCTTACTGTAAGACCACACTTGTTCACTAAGATTTTCCAAAAAGTGACTGTCTGTCCGTCTGTCCCTCAACTAAAGTATTGGAACAAAATTTCTGACTTAGTAGCATCGTTTCTTCCCATTTAAACAATGGAAGTATCAACATAAGAACTATGGGCCTAGGCACTAAGTCCCATGTTTTTAGACAGGGAGTTAAAAGGCAGATGTTTTTTTTTTTTTTGTGAGATGTGTAAAATGTTCCTTCCGAACTTTTCCAGAATGTACATGCAATTTTTTTAGCCCAGTGTCTGGAATTCTAAAACAGGGATAAAACTAAAAGCTGTCTTTGATATGACCTCATTAAAGAAACGATAAGCAAGTCAAAAAGAATACAAATATGTTTTTGAGCCAGACAAAGTCAAAATCCTGAATCCTCTGTTAAACTGGAGAGCTTTGGGGTGGGCGCGGGTGAGGGATTCTGGGGGATTGTCGCTCCCGGGCTGGGGTCCCGGCTTGATCCGGGGGTCTCGGGTCTTGGCGGGTATGTTGTCAGGGTCTTGGGCCCGTGCATGCGCCGGCACCCGGCCCTGGACTGGGGGCCCTTGGAGTCCACCCGTTCCCTCAGCCTGGATGTCTTCCTGCCTGGCTGTGGCTGTGGTCTGGTGCTTGGCTGGGGTTCTGGGCTGTGGGGGGCTGTGGGTGGGGTGGGGCTTTTGCTCAGGTGGCTCTGCACTACTGGCCCGGTGGTGTCTGGGCATGTTAGGCGTGTGCCCTCCCTTGCATGGGGTGCTCTCATTGTGGGTGTTGCTGTGGTGGACTGGTCGGTCCTTTTGTGTGGGTGGGGGTGCGCTCTTGGTCATTGTGGTGCGCTGTCTGCGGCTGTTCAGGCACTCATGGCTGATTGTCGCTGCTGGAGTTTGGTGGCTTCTTTGGTTGGGGGGCTGGGTGTTGAGCTGGGGATCAGGTTGGGGGTCTGGATGATCTCAGGGGGGCTTGGCTCGCTGGCCCGGGTTCTGGTCGGTGCTCGGGGCTATGTGCCAGTCCGTGGCCTGGGTCCCTGGTGGAGCGGCTGCCTCCTGCTCCTGGATGAATGCACTGGAGCCTCCCTCCCCTGGTGGATCTCGGAGAATGGGGGTGCCTATTGGGGTCAGTGGGGGAGCTGGCTCCCTGGGAGGGCATTGTCACCTCTGTTGTTCCTCCCCATCCCGACCTCTTCCTCCACCCACTCCATCACACCACCACTCAAGCAGGGCCTTGGGGTTCAGGTGCACTACTGATCTGCGGGGAGGATCCCCCATCTCCGTGGTTCATGGAGACCTGGGCCCCAATTTTATCAAACAACCTAGACACTCGTATATAACATTCTCACGACACATGCATATATAGGGTCTGGAGTGGGCACATGGTGGCATATAGGGGGTGGGATGTGTAATCATTCTCACCTCCAGGACCTGTGCCCACTCTCATATGTAGCATGTAGACATTTAGGGTTCTGGGCAAGGGTTGGGGGGGTGAACAGGCACTGCCTGCTCTCTGGGGAGGGGGTGGGTCTGTGCCAGTCGCCACCTCATCCCCCCCATTTTAAACGCACTATATAACAACATGCATCAACATCTTATTTGAGTGGGGGGCGGGAGGAGTTGGGTCTTACAGCTTTTCTTAAACCCTCATTCTCTGTCTGACATTTGGGGGTGGGGGGAGGCTGCCTGGTTGGGGTCTGGGCTGTGGGTGGGTATTGGGCCTTTGGGGGCGATTGGGGGTGGGGCTGGTGCTCCAGTTCTCCCTGGATTGTTTGGATCCTTTTATCAGGGTTCCTGGTTCTGATGGCCAGCCCTTTGGCTGGGGTGGCTGCCGGGTTCTGGCAGGAGGTCAGCTGTGGTTGTGTGTTTGTGGTCGTTGGTAGTGCATGGCGGCGGTCGGAGGCATGGCTTCTCTTCGACGAAGTGCTGGCTGGTCGCCATGATGTGACATTCACGGTGCGGGGTGCTGTGTGTGTGTGTGTGTGGGGTGGGGGTGGGGGGTGCATGGGTTGCATGCCAGGGCTTTAGGGATGCATTGGTGCGCTGGGCCGGTCTTCCTCGGCTGCTGCTCCCTGCTGCTCTGGCCCCCGGCCTGGGGCCGGCTTGCGGTCACTGTTGGGCAGGTGGGGCGCATGGACAGCCCAACAGAGGCTCTGTCGGGCTGTCTCTGTGTGCCTGTTTGTCTCAGGTTGGGTTTTGGGTGACCCCCCTCTCTTGGACCAGTTTTGGCCCCCCATTTGGTGGGTCGTGCTCCCCCCCCCGGTGGTGGGCCCCCCTGCCGCTGGTGCATTGGCAGCTCTCAGCAGCTGGGGCTGAGTGGTGGGGTGTGTGCAGGCCCGCCCTGGTGGCTGCCTGTGGGGGCCTGGGTGCCCTGGCTCTGTCGGGCCTCTGTTGGGGGGTGGTATGACCTCAGGACTCGGGGCTTGGTGTCCATGGCCGCATCCACTCTGGAGGGGCAGGTTGCCGGTGGGGCCTGTTGACTCGTCGCTACGGCCTCCTGGGGGTTTCTGCATTGTGGTTGCTGGGGATCGCCCGGGGCTTCCCTTTGCTTCTCTCTCTGGGGGGTGCGGGTGTCCCTGTTGGGGGACTACAGGAGTTCCGGGCTTGGGGGCCGCTGTGTGTCTGTGGTTCCGGGCTTCCCTGTGTTACCTTCGTGTCCTACGGGGACGGGTTTATGGGTACCCACATCCACTATTGAACATTTTTATGAGAAACCTTATAGTGACAAGCATGCTCACACAGGTGTTTAGATCCAGGTGTTTATCAGATACACACTCAGTTGGGTTGTGGTGGCCATCAAATATATATTGTATTACCATGTACTGTATAAAATACTTTCTAATTATGTTATAATTATCATTATATAAGTTGTTTGTTGTTGTGGTTTCTTGGTTTTGTCGTTTATTTCTCTCTCTTTCCGCAGGTCTAGAGTCAGACTTCAATGATGTTGACTTGTGTTCTCTTTATCCCTCTCTCTCCTCTATTCCTATCTCCTTCTTTACATTTTAACTATTCTCTAACTTTTCTGCTTTGTTATCTTCTTTGTTTTCCGTCCCCGTGTCCATTACATCTGGAACAAACCCAAAGCATATTCTAATAAAATTTAATTTATATATCAAGAGGAGCTTTAAGGCCAGCCATAATGCTCTGCTTGTGAAAGTAAATCTGTTGGACATCATTGTGACACTCAGACAATAATTCTGAGTGTCACAATGATGGACAGGACAAGGGAAAAAAAAAAAAAGATCAACATCATCAGGCCAGGACTCTGCGGTCTACACTCATCTCCAGGTCAGAGGTCACTCTTTTAGGGATCAAGATGTTCACATCCTTGATGGAGAGGAATGATGGTTTGAGAGAGGAGTAAAGGAGGCCATCTTTGTGAAAAGAAACCGTCCATCATTAAACAGGGCCGGAGCCTCCATGTCCAACTGTCCCCCTCTTACAATGCTGTTATTGCTAGTATCACTCAGCCTCCTGTGAATAGCAAGCCTTGATCATGTGAACAACTAGTTCTGGATGTCAGCAGCAAACTGGTTGATCCACTATGAGAAGGTGCTGTTTATAAGACGGAGTTTGTTGCAGCGCCTCAGACTGAAGAAGTCTTTTGGATTAACGACAAAATGTTTCAACAAGAAGACTCTGTCCAGAGGACATGACTTAACCTGGTTAGAGTTATTCAGAAAGCTGGTCTGACGTTTTTAAAGAAATCCAACAAACAATATAGCTTCATAGCTAACATGACGGGAATAACCGGCACATTTTTATGGAATCCAGCTCACATCAGCATATGAAACAGCAGATAAAGTTGCAGAAGAGGCTTTTAGCGTAGTTCAGTAGAGCAAAAGTAAAGAACACGGTAAAGCAGAAAATGAGGGAAACATAATAAATGTAACCTAATGTAACTGAGACGGTGAGGTAATAAGAGTATATTTTATCGTACTGCCAGAAGTACAGAAAAGAAAGAATTCAAGTGATTGACATCTCGGTCCAACCCACACTACCTACCAGCTGGTGGCGACAGTGAGCCAAAGTATTATTTCTGTCGGAAAAAGAAGAAGATTAAAAAAACTACTGGGTGGTGCGTCATGTGACCGTCACATGACACTTCCTGTTGTTGACGTTAGCAATATGGCAGCGGCGTTTTTGCAGTGGAGAAAATTCGTCTTCTTCGATAAAGACATCGTGAAAGATCCTGCAGACGCTGGGAAAAGCTTCACTCTTCCCAAAGGAATACTGGCCAGCGACTCTGGCCGCAGCCATGTTGTTCTCGGAGATATCCTTTGACGTCATCGGCTAACGCTGCGTTAGCAGCAGCTAGCTTGCTTTCTCCTCTCTGCAGGGATTACAGGCCAAGTTCTGCTGTTTGAATCAGCTGTTGTTAGTTTAAAAACAGCTGAGTACATTGTTAGTGAAAGCAATAGTTCAACTGTTTTACTATCAAATGTAGAACAACAAACATGTTGACATGTTCATCTACCCAGGCTGACTTTACCTTTATGTTATATTTGAACACAATCTGAGCGTTGCACTTTATATTAATACAATAATGATTCTCCTGCAGTTTTGGTTCCAAGCACTGGATTTAGACCCGTCCTACCAGCAGAACCTTCCCCAGACAAGTTGCTGCTGTCATTCAAAAGACAATTTACAAATCGATCCAGGTCATGGTTGATAAGTTGATAAAAGCTTACATTTAATTACATACTTGATAGAGTTTAGGTTAATTATGGTTTATGCTTTTACGAATTTAGAATTGTTGTGACGCCAACACCAGATTTTTATTCATTCTAGAGAATTCATTGCAATCAAAGTATGGTTTTCTCTTTTAGGATTTGGGCTTATTTGATCAATTTAACATAAATCTTCTGTATGTAGGTATTATTTAGTCTGGCATAGGTCAGAATTCATTTGGTAAAACTTGTTTGAGACCAGAGAAATCCATCTTCACTAGACTTTGGTTTCTCTTTTGTCATAACGCGTAAATAAATTAACGAAAAAAAATTTGTGAATCCTAAATTTCATAATGTACTTAATACTATTTAAATACAGTGTTTATGTAAAGCTTAAAAAGCTGTTGTCTTTAACTAAAGCTGTTAAATGTTTAACATTTCTAGATGTCATTGGGTGGTTGGTGCAGCTGACGTGGCAGTTTTTATTGTGAAGGTTGCAGACGGATGTTCTGAATAAAGAGCTTAGTTTGTACATTTAGCTAATAATATTTATAATAATACTAAAGATATTTCCTGTTTACATTTTTTTGGTCATGTGTTGGAAAAGGTTAATTACTGAGGAAAAACTGCTGTTCAAACCAGCTTGTCCCTGAAAAGTAATTGCCCCTAAACTTAATCATTGGCTGTGCCCCTGTTGAAGTAACAAGTATAAACAGAGGTTTGTGATCAATGGTTCTGGCTGTGGAGGAGTTCAGCTGGCATGCTGTGATCATCGCCCTGCTGCTGAACCCAAGTGAGGCTTCTTCAAGATTACCTAGAGAGCAAAATTCTCAATTCCATCCCTTGTAATTGGCCTTAACCTGTTTAATCTCACATATGGAAGGAAGAATCTGCCTCCTGACTCGCTCCCTGCAGCTCATGTCTTTTCAGGCCTACAAGCTGCGGGTGACCCACCTGTTCCAGTTGAAACAGCATAGCATCCTCGTATCAGTGGGACAAGATGAACCTGGAATAAACCCCCTGGTAAGTAGCAGACTCCAACAGAAGCCGTTCAGATAATATGTTACAAAACATTCCTAAAACCCGAAAACTCAGATGAGTGAATCTAAAAAAGTTAAGTCTGGTCCTCTGGACATTCAAAAACAAACAAAACAAAGAACAAAAAAATAATTTAAAAAATGTAGAAACGTTTCGTCTCTCATCTGAAAGACTTCCTCAGTCTGAGGTGCTGTATTCAGCTCAGTCTCTTAAATAGCACCTTCTCAGAGTGGATCAACCAGTTTGCTGCTGACAACCAGAACCAGCTGATCACATGCTCAAGAAGGACCATCAGCCTAACAATGGATCATTAGCACCTGATGGCTGTTTACTGTTCACAGAGGGCTGAGTGATACTAGCAATCACAGCATTGTAAGAGGGGGACAGTTGAACCTGGAGGCTCCGCCCCTGTTTAATGATGGACGGTTTCTTTTCACAAAGATGGCCTCCTTTACTCCTCTCTCAAACCATCGTTCCTCTCTGTCCAGGATGTGAACATCTTCATCCCTGAAAGAGTGACCGCTGGCCTGGAGATGAGTGTAGACCTCAGAGTCCTGGCCTGATGATGTTGATCTTCTGTGCTGGTCCATCCTTTTGGCCAGTGGCTGTTTAGTTTCCCCGATGTAAGACTGATCACCCTCCTGACACTGAACAACATACACAACATTGCTCTGTTTGTGCCGGGGGACTGGATCTTTGGGATGAACCAGTCTTTAATGTATTTTGGGGTTTAAAAGCCACTGGGACGTTGTGTTTAGAAAATAAACGTCTCAGTTTCTCTGATACTCCCTCAACATATGGAATGACCACTGGTCTGGGTCTGGGTTCCTCCTTTTCACCTGTTGGCTGACTGGAGTCCTGTTTGGGTTTCTTCTTTCAGGAAAGCCCAGTTAGGATATCCACATTGCTCTAGAGTCTGGACTTTGTTGTTTTCAACCAGTTTGACATGACTGTCAACCAGGAAGAGGAGCAGCAATGGAAGAGGGGGCATGCCAAAGAGACCATCTTATCAGAAGCAGAACTGGTTTGTTCCACTTTGGAGTAAGCTGTTGGGGGAAGAATCAGTTTTGTTGAGTGTTTCCTTCACTGATGAAGCCTTCTGGATTGAAGGGGGTAACGTTTCAGCACAAAAAATAAACTGTCCAGATGACCGGACTGAAAAATGTTGGATTGTATACCTGGATTATTGAGCATGGACTTTGTTGTTTTCTCTAGAATATCTGAGATGAAAGTTAGATTAGATATGGGTCTATAGTTGGCCAGAATTTCTGAATCGAGGTTACATTTATTAAGTAAAGGTTTAATTACTCCGACCTGTAAGGTCACTACAAGAACACAGACAAGGGCAAAAACCCATTAGTCTGCTTTGACATTTGTCTGCGGGCAATAATGATCCATGGTTCATCAAGCACAGCTGTTCATCATCACCAGTACGCCACAAAAACACTGAATTTGAGACTTTGAGGATTTGATGAAGTCTGTTGTGTTCCCAATAAATGCATTAGGCTTTAATAGAACTATGAAATAGAATAAGAATCTCATTAGCTTTTATAACTAATAGTTGACTTTACTGTCATGTTTATTTATTTATAGGACTGTTGTGTGTCTGCCAAATGATCTTGACATATAAAGTCTAAAAGTGTTCCTGCTTTTGTAAGAGAACTGTTAGGACGTACTGGGCTGAGCCCTCACCAACTGATTGTGCTTTTTTCTCTAGGTAAAGGTCTGGAACCTTGAAAAGAGAGACGGTGGAAATCCTCTTTGTACCAGAATTTTCTCTGCCATTCCGGGCAACAAACCAACAGAAGTGTCTTGCCTGAGTGTAAATGAGAACCTCAATTTCATGGCCATAGGTCAGACACGCCTCCACCACTGACACAGTTGATCACACTGTTGTTTCCTATTGTTGCTTCTCAACATTTTTGCAGTCAAACTCTTTCTGCCTGATTTGTGTTATTTTAACTCACATTAGGCTTGTTATGAGCTTTAATATTTGCAACTTTTATCCTTTTCAAAGAAATGTAACTTCATAAAAATAATAGGAATACATGAAGATTTCTTTAGCTTTTTTTTTTTTAAATCTGCTTCAGCTACTGGCTCTGTTTTTGTCTTGTTACTTTTAAGAACCATTCTGTTTCCTCTTCCCTTTAGCTGTCGTATTTTCTCATTTTAGTTTTAGAATCTATTTAGCTACTTTTTTATACATTTTGTTATTAATTGCATATGTTTTGCTGCTTTTAACCAGAGTTTTGCTAATGTTAGCATCTGTTTTGATAAATTTAGCTTTAGCATGGGTTTTGCTTTTTTTATTCACAGTTTTGCTTATAACATTTATTTTCCTAATGTTAGCTTAGACATCTATTTTACACATTTTAGCATGTATTCTGCTTGTTTGGCTGTTCTCAGTCGTGTTGTGAGACGATGGCTGGACGAGTCCCAGCAGTCGTTCTCAGCGTTGCGTTGTGTTTCCTGACAGGCTTCACAGACGGCAGCGTGGTTTTGACCAAAGGTGACATCACCAGAGACCGCCACAGTAAAACTTTGACTCTGCATGAGGGGAGTAGCCCAGTCACTGGACTCGCCTTCCGCCAAATGGCAAAAACAACTAACTTGTTTGTTGCCACTCTGGAAAAAGTTTTTGTAAGTCTGGTGTGTTCTGGTGTCTGCAGCTCCTGAACATTTGTACAGGCCATTGTCTAACCAAGCTGCTGTCTCTGTTTCTCCTGCTTAGTGCTACACCCTGTCCACCAAGGAGTATCCCAGAATAGAACTAGGTGCACATGGCTGTGCACTGCGCTGCTCCTCCTTATCTGATCCATCCCAGGATTCCCAGTTTGTTGTTGCTGGGAATGAGTGTGTGTATCTATACCAACCAGATGAGCGGGGTCCTTGCTTTGCTTTTGATGGTCACAAGCTGCTGGCTCTCTGGCACCGCGGATATTTGTTCTTACTCACCAGAGACGTGAAGTCCCCCAGCAAGTAAGGGCAGCACACATGAATCTATTCACAGCTCAAGCTTTGCATGTTCACATCATCAAATATTAAAGAGCTAGCAGTTCATGAGTCACATCACCCACCACCGTTGCCACATGTTCACTGTAAATCATCTTTTGATGGAGTTGTAGCTGTTTCAGTCAAATCTTTGCAACACCTTGCTGATGTGCTGATGCTTAAAGTTTGTGTAGTGATGATGACCCAGCTACCACCAGACCAGACTTTAACTCGGTGTCTGAAAAGGTGACACACTTGCAGCCGTTTTGTGTTTGCTAATGGTGAACTGCATCAGCCATGTTGAAGTGTGAGCTGGTGTGGCTCCATCCCTCCATGACCTCATGGAGCTTCATTAACAATCTGTCTTTGGTTCAGATATTTTGCTAACTTAAGTTATGTACTTTTAATTAACCAGGGAAATCCTGCTGAAATCACAAATCTCTTTTGCATGCGCGGCCTGGTCCTGAAGACAGTTTAACGTGCACGTTTTTAGACTGTGAGAGGAAACACGTGGAGAACATGCAAACTCCACACAGAAAGACCGCAGGTCCAAACCCAGGACTGAACCCAGGACTGAACCCAGGACCTTGTTGCTGTGAGGCCAAAGTGCCAAGTCACGGCTGCCTTCATCAGTTTTCCACAACATTGTGACGTGGGGCTGCAGGCACTACTTCTAAATACACTACTTCTAAATACACTACTTCTAAATAC